AGAAAAAAAAGATCATTGATAATAGTGGCAACCCATTGTTGTACTTATTATGCAAATTATGATGCTAAATAATTTACATACATTTTCTATATAAACCCCACAACATTCTGATGAAATAAACATTCCCCTATTTTACTGAGACTGTTATTAAAGTCCAGACAATTTGCCCAAAATCACACAGTGGTGGAGTTGACATTTGAACCCAGGTCTGAATGATTCCACAGTATGTTATATTATACCATTTTCCTAGAATAAGGATTTTTGCATATTTCCTTCATATCACTCAATTTTTAGTTATCCAGCCACTTTGAAATTCACAGGCATTTGCATATCTTTTCAGATAATTCCCAAAGTATGTATTCAGTAGCTCCATAAATATTTTTGAACATGTGATACACACTGGACACTAAAAATAAAAAGGAATAAAGGGAGTGAGTGTATTGGTAGGATGAGAGCATTTGGAGAGCAAAATATGTAAACATCCACAATTCCTTATCCCCAATTATGAAACCTCCAAACCTCTGGAAACTGAAAATTATGTTGTAAATTATCCAGTTTGGCACCAGCACCTTACCTACATTGGTTTGGCATTAAGCTGCCTACAGTTTCAGTTTCAGATTCAGTGTGACTAATCCGTACATTTTATTACAGATATATTAATGTATTTGGTTACTAGATGTTACCCTCGATAATGTGTACCCTACTACCTTTCTGATAGCCAAAAGCAAATAATAATAATTTTGAAACACATCATGTGTCCAACATTTGGGATAAAGGCTTTTAGGCCAATGAGTCATTACAGCACTCGTGCTATGGTAGTGGGTGTGCTTTAAAAGCCCTTAGAACAAAGGAGAACGGGAGAGCTTCAGAGGAGAGGTGTTACTCGGTCTAGTTATTGAAGCATGAATGTAGATTTGCCAGGCAGCCAGATGAGAGGAGAAAATGCACTGGAGCTGCTTGAAACAGCCTGAACAAAATCATGAGAGAGTAATTAGTGGTCAGGGGAAGGAGAGTGGCAGAAGAATGGCATTGGATCAATAGTCAGCGGTCAAATCACAAAGACACTGAGAAATGCCATGCAAAGTTTGGATTTGAACCCAGATGGCTACGGGGTGACCTGGGAAGATGTCAGTCTTAAAGAGGTAAGTTGACCATTTGTCTGAGTTGCCAGACTGCGACAGTCTGTTCCCACTACCCTTGTATGGTTTATAGTACAGCCTTTCACTTTCAAAAGTGACTTGACTTGAATGAAATATTTTATGACCCACATTAGTGAGAAGGGAGGTGTGATATTGTGTGTATATGTATAGCCTTTGTCCACAGTTCCTGACTCACAGCTCCCAGAACCCTTGGAATTTCCTTAGTGATGAGAGTCATAAAAGCGTCCTGTTAGGTTGATGAGGTGACTTTTGGACTCAACCTAAGGAGAGGGACTGGCTTCCAGCAGAATCAACCATGTGATTAGAGGTCTGGAATTTTCCTTCCCACCCCTGCTACTGATAATCTTCAGGGGCGGGAGGTTGAATCAGTCACCAGTGGTCAGTTATTTACTCAATCATGCCAGTGTAATGAAGCCTCCATAACACACCAAAAGGATGGGGTTTGAGCACTTCTGCGTTGAACATGCAGACATTTGAGGACATCATGCTTTCAGAGGGCATGGAAACTCTATGCCCTTTTCCCGTGCATCTCTTCCGTCTGGCTGTTCTCAGTTATATCCTTTTGTAATAAACTGGTAATCCTTTTATAATAAATCTTTTTATCTTTTTGTAATAAACTGATAAATAAATGAGTTTCCTGAGTTCTGTAAGCTGCTCTGGCAAATTAATCAAACCCAAAGAAGGGGTTGTGGGACCCTCCAGTCGGTAGCTGGTTGGTCAGAGAAGAATCTGATGCTACCTGTGGGTGGGTAGGCGGCAGAACGGAGTGGAAAGAACATGCAGTTGGTGTCCAGAGAACTGTTAGCGGTGTGGGAACTCCCCCTCCCCCCACTACACACAAGTTGAAACTGGGTCAAAGAACCTAAAAATGGGAGCATTTCAGTCATAGACTGAAAACTACTTCTCTCCTTTCTTCTAACCCACATTGTCCAGCAGTTTCCTTATGTCTTGGCTTTGGCTCCAACTGGGTAGAAGTTAGATTGTGAAAGAAGTTAATTGAGTTAAAATGTCCAGGAAAATCTAATGTAAGTGGAACTGAAAATACATGAAGATTATAAAGCCATTGTTGTAATATTTATTCCTCCATTTTAAAATGAGTTAATAATTAAGAAACACATTAATTATGTATTTTTCTCTTTTCCTCAAGCTTTGATGCCAATGAATAATTTTAAAAAGTAAAAATAAACTATAAAATACAAAATATGATCACACATTCCTCATCAATGGAATATAAATGGAAAATATATTGAAGGCAGCTTCAGTAAGCAATGGAAAAATGAAGAGAAACATTGGTGTCTGTGGATCATAGCATGTCAAAATTAATTTTTATTCTTATGATTAAGGAGCAGTAAAAAGTTGGAATCATTTCAATTTCTGAATGGATTTGCATTTAGCTACAAATTGAGAATTTAGCCAGAACCATTTTATCTTACTAATCACGGAAATGTAAATTGAAACAACCTATCATTTCCCCATCAGATCAAGATTAAAATACAGCAATATTTCTCCAAAATTGTCAGAACTGGTAAATTTGTATGATGTTTTATTAGTCAGTCTTTTTGGAAATAATTTAGTAAAACTAAATATGCACGTATGACGCTGCAGTTCTATCTTTAGATACTTACCTTAAAGAAACAGTCCCCAGATAGCAGGGACAAGGGGACAAGAAGGTAGCTGTGCTGTAATAGCAAATATTGGGCATTATCCAAATATCTTTCTTGATGAAGTATTATGGAGTGCTGTGACATGAAGTTAGACCTTAAGTATTGCTGAATTTAAAAAAAATAAGCAAATTGAATAAAGAAAGATGCAGTAATCATTTATATAAAAGTGTATTAAATCGTTCTACCTTTTAGGGTTACTTAGGAGATTTATTAGTTTATTAGCGCTTGAGCCGAACAGACAGACATAGCACCAAGCTGAGGTCCGTGGTTGCTTTGCCTTGTCCGCGGGACCTCCTGGGTCTCCGGTGGTGGTTAAAGGGCACTGGGTTTGTTCTCTAGTTTGCTAGGGCTGCCGTAGCCTAGTGCCACAGACTTGGCGGCTTAAACAGCAGAAACTTACTCCCCGGAGTTGTGAAAGCTGCAAGTCTGAGATAAAGGTGTCAGAATAGCTGGTTGCTTCGGAGTCCGCTTCTCTTTGGTTTACAGGTGGCTGCTTCCTCCCTGGGTCTCCAAGCGGTCTTCCTCCTGTGACGATCTTTGTCTTCATCTGCTCTTCTTACAAGGACACCAGTCATACTGGATAAGGGCTCATCTGTATGACCTCATTATGCCTTCATTACTAATTTAAAAGGCCCCGCCTCCAAACGCAGTCACATTCCCAGGGACCGAGATCAGGGCTTTAACATACGCATTTGGACAGGGTGGAGGAACGGACACAGTTCAGCCGATACTGTATCCCTAACATCTTTATTTAAAACAAACAAGAAATTGGATTCATACTTGACACTGATGCTAAACAAAGTTGTAAAACAAAAGTATAAGCTTATCTAAATCTAGAAAAATTTCCCTTCATGGGAAATCCATTTGGTCTTCCAAACTTTCGGAATGCTATAGCGCCAGATGGCTAACGTTGGTTATTTTAGGAAGGTGAAAACGAAAGTGGTAGGGGGATATTATTAACATTTTTGAAAGGATTTTACTTTTTGAAACAGTTGCAGATGTGCAGAAGGATTGGGGAAGCTAGTGCAGCGTTCCCATACTCCCCACACCCCGTTTCTCTTGTTATTAACGCTTTGCAGTAGCATGGTACGTGTCTCACAGCTGATGAACTAGTGTGGATACAGTGCTAACTAACGTCCATACTTTATCCAGGTTTCCTTAGTTTTTACCTAATGTCCTTTTTTTTTTTTAATTCCATCTAGGATACCACATTACATTTAGTTGTCATGTCTTAGTCTTTCGGGGCTGTGACACTTTCTCAAAATTTCTTTTTTGACAACATTGGCAGTTTTGAAGAGTACTGGCCAGGTATTTTGTAGAATGTCCCTTTACCGGAATTTGTCATAAATTTTTCTCATGATTAGATTCAGGTTATTGGGTTGGGGAGGCAGACCACAGAGATAAAGCACCATTCTCAGCACATCCTATCAAGGGTACGACATGATTGGGCACTGCTGATGGTCACCTTGGTCACCTGGGGGAGGTTAGTGTTTTTCAGGTTTCTCTTCTGTAAAGTTACATCTTTTTTTACCCCTTTGCAATGAGCATATATTAATTTGTAATTATTTTTAAGTAAGAATATTTTAAACATACTTAGGTAACAAATCATTAACTAATTTTGGACTTTAGCAATTAGGAGCATGCAAGCTTATTAGAAAGGACCTAGGGAGCTTGAAAATACAGCTAACTGTGTACCTATTCTCTCTTAGCAATGTGTTATTCTCATTTAGACCATAGAAAGCAGTTTATATGCACATATTTAACATTATTACCTGCTCAGAGCACAGGGAGTTTTCATCTTTAGATCAAAAGTGAAGCTCACAGAAGCCCTGCTTGTTCTATACAGATCAGAGACTTCAAGGCAGGTTACAGATAAGCAGCCTTCTTTTTGCATTCTTGGACCCCTTGTACTGTTCCTGGAAATTATATGTACATATCATGCTTTTGTTGTACACAACTGGAAACTTAATGGGGTGAAATTTTTCAAACATCTCCATTGTGAATTTTCAAACATAATTATTGTATCCTCCCTACAAATAGAACTTAAGTAAATTTTTGGAACTCTAAATCAGCAAACTATTACTAATACCCATAATGTAAAATTTTGTCACCATTACTGCCTTATAATGTGTACTGTCAATGACTTTTTTTTTTTTTTGCGTTGTAATTTTTCCAGACATTTCAGTCAGCCTGTTAGCAGTCGTTGTCAGCTTTTGTGGCCTGGCCTTGTTGGTCGTCTCACTTTTTGTCTTCTGGAAGTTGTGCTGGCCTTGCTGGAAGAGCAAACCCCTGACTTCCAACGTCAGTACCCTCCCACCGAGCGTTTCAAGTGCTCCTACTGAAGTTTTTCAAGAGACTGAAGAGAAGAAAGAAGTTAAAGAAAATGGAAAGCCAGCACTAAAAGCTATTGAGCCCGCAATAAAAATCAGCCACACTTCCCCTGATATCCCAGCAGAAGTCCAGACTGCTTTAAAAGAACATTTAATTAAACATGCACGTGTGCAGAGACAAACTACTGAGCCGACATCTTCATCCCGGTAAGGAAGGATCAAAATAGATAAAACCACTTGTGGTGGGTGCGTGCGTGCGTGCGTGTGTGTGTGTGTTGTGTGTGATTTCCTAAGAGAGAAAAACTGAGGTGGGAAAGGAGAAAAGAAAAAGACCAACAGAAGAAATGAGAAAGACACAGGAAACAAATAGAATAAGGAGGGAATGGGTGGGACAGAATAAGTAGGGATGGAGAGAGAAATTGAGGACAAAGAAGCCAAACAGAGAGCAGTACCACGAAAGGGGCTTAGGGGAATCTGAGGTCTTATTAAAACCATCTAACTAGAGATCATTGTTTATTGACTCTTTCCTTTGAAGTGTCATTGGTTGATAGCTGCTATTTGGAGTCTTTCAATTTAGTTTAATTCAGCCAATCAGTATCAAGAAAACAGCCAGGGATTTCATGCAATCACCCAGAAATGTACAGTCAGAACTGAGTAACAGAGACTAATGTTTAGTCTACAGTGGTTTAGCACTGTATCATAAACTGCTGGAAAATTTCATTGCTTGTTTGAGTTCATAGACCAAGCCCTTATCCTGGTCAGAGTATGGTAAGTTCCGCAGGAGCATTAGTGAGTATCCTGAATGTACCAAGGAGTATATACAACAGGAGGGAAGGGGGAGCCCTCCTTAAGGAGACACATTTTAAGGATGTACTTTTTAACTTAGCCTGGAAAAATCAGCAGGAATTTGCTTGAATGAAAATAGTTTGCTTGAATGAAAATAATTTGCTATAGTATATTTCAAATGATGTTAACTATAAAGGAAAAAAAAAGATTCTTGTAAAAAGCCTTTTTTTTCTACTAAAGTATGGTCTTCAATCTTTAAAATTAAAAACAACATGTTAGTAGCGGTTTTTCTCTGATTCCCAGAATAGCAACTAGTTTTACCCTAGGACAGGGTGAAAAATCAGTGGTGATGGGAATTAAGTGCTGTTTTCTGCTGACTAATGGACTTCCTAATCTTACCTTCCTGCCTCTAAATCAAAGATGCATTCATGCTTTTTTGACATGACTGACTTTTGTGGGTTTGGAAGTCGATCAGATTGAAAAATTGCCTGGGTCATGTTTGGTACTAGGATTGAAAGATTATTCAATATATCTTTTATAAATAAAACAGGATTGTATCTACAAATAAATCCTCTTCTTTATGAAATAAATTCCAGAGGAATAAGAATAATTGTTACTTTGGGATAAGGAGGATGGGGAGATGTTACACTTTTCTCAGCTATTTAAATTTTATAACCAAGATATGCTTCATATTTAATTATTATTTTGACAAGTTTTCCTGAGCAGTGGCATCTAAGCATTTAGGTTTATTTTTCTTTTTGTGTGTGATTTTTACATCATATGGTCCAGTATACATTAATTGAAATTTATTTATTACTGATATTTAACTATAAAATAATTATCCCATGTGCCACTTCTTTTTTTATATTTAAAGGAAAAACTACTTTAAAATTATCCCCTGTGGTTACTTGATTATCGCTACTATTGCAAACTATGGCTAAATATGATGTTTAACAAAGCCTTAATATACTCATCAGTTTCAGGGTAAAAATGTTTAAATAATCTACAAAACATTTAAAAAATATTGGTAACAGCTATGACTAGGTATCAACTTAGCATTCAGAATAATTCAACTCTTTTAGTTGGTAAGTGCACCCCACATAAGGACTCTCAATTTATGAAAGCAAATTAAGGTAAGCTATGAGAGTAGCTTGCCATTCTTTGCTCAGATTTTTTTCAGAAACCTCAGAAAAGCAAAGTATTATCTTCAGAATAGTATCTGTTGAATATAAACATACAGCGTATCTGATGATCCCTAGCTACGGGAGAAGGAAAGAATTCATATTGAGAACACGTGTGTGAAGACTTGGTTTTGGATACAGAATTGGTTTCTAGAAATAAAACACAATAGGAATGACAACACATCATTCTATCCCTGAATTTCTCAGTAATTATGTGAAATTGAACAAATCAGAAGAAAACCTTTTTCTTTCAACCTTAAAAAACAAAAATTGATTGTGCTTGTGTATCATATTTTCTGAGCGAAAAAGTGGAATACAAGTTCATAGTTTTGCTAGAACTTTGATACCATTTCATTGGCTTCTTTGAATTTCCTTGTTTATGAGTGGCTGGGGAAGGAAGGAAAAAAAATGTATAGTTTTTGAGTGCTTGCAACTTAGTCACTATGGCAGACACTCTTCCTGCTAATCTTCTGGCAACCTGCATGAAATGTTATTAATTATCCCTATTACTTGTGAGTTAACTGAAGCCCAGAGAGATTTAAAACATTGCCTACAGCCATACAGCTGGTGAAAGTTAGAATTCAAATTTATCCAGATTGATGGAACACAATTTAAGAGTTAAAGCCAAGAGGATACGGTTTTTCACAACCAAAGATGGTTACGAGGTCTTCTGAGGTCAGGTAGTTGGGAGGTTGGAGAATGAGGACATCTTCCTGCTCATCCTGCTCAGTCAGAAGTCTGGAATTATATGTGGTTAGCATGAATGACTACAGTTATGGTTTTAATCTATGTGGCCTTGGGATGAATTCCTTGCAGAAACTTGATTGTTCCCAGTTCTTGAAAACCTTTATCTACATTAATTACATCATCATACTAAAAATTACCTTTATACTGAGAGGAAGGGGAAATTACCAAGCTTATTATGCAGACGCAGAGATTGCGGGTACATTATTATGAATCAGATTGTTCTGCTCAAATGCTAACTTTTCACTGCAGTGTAGTGAAATCAAACAACCTCCTCTCCCCACTGCCACACACAATAAATTTAACTTTAATATTTGGTTTCCTCACCTTATTAAGATATCTCAGCTCTAGTCTGGTGTTGAAACTCCCTTTTATTTGGCTCAGACAATAAATGACAGACATCATATTCCCTCAGGTTTTACTTGTCTCTTTAGTTAAGAGACATCCTGATTAATTAACAGCATTGCTGGAAACTGCCACATTTCCCATATTCTCATCTTGCTTTTCAAATACCTGGACAGTTAACCCCATCAGCGTACTGGCAGTCAGTCAAACAACCCAACAGGTGTCTGTGTATTTCTTACTATTAATATTCTTCTATTAACAATCTTGATTGATTGTTCATTCATCTAATAGCCTTGCTCAGTTGATATTGATGGCTAGATATGAAGGGGCAAAACCCACAAAGTGACCAGCAAGACCTCCCAGGCTTTTGTGCTTCTGTAAAATGGCTTGCTTCTAGGAAAACAAAACTTACTCCTAAGATTCCATTGGTTCCCAAAAGCTCACTCCTGATTGGCCCATTTCTAACACCTCATTTGCATTTACCCCTAAAATTCCATTGGTTTCTGAAATCTCACTCCTGATTGGTCCATTTTTAACACCTCATTTGCATATGGCACAAACTTAATTGAAATCTAAAATCCTATTAAAGTCTGTATAAACCTACAGATGGCCTCCAGAGCTTGGAGTGTTAACTCCTCTGGGCCTGCTGGCTTAATAAACCTGAGATCTTCAACCCTCTGAGTATCCCTTGGTCTCTTGATAGGATTCAGGTTTCTGTAACAGATATAGTCAGTATATCCTGCATACTCTCCACTTTGCAAATTCTAGGAAACTAGAAAAAAAGTCACATCACAATGCAGAGAGAGAAGACACAATCTTCAATTTAAGGAATTACAAGTACAAACTGTGTGGTGGAAAATGTGGAATTAATAGAATAGAAAAATCACTTCTAGCTGAGGCATGGAGAAGGGCCATTAAACTGAGGCCTCAGAAAACTAGGAATGCATCTAAATACCAATTGGAAGAGGATATGCATTCCAGATGGAAATATTTTATGTGAAAAGACACGGAAGAGGAAATCATGCTATGAAAACACCAAGTAAATTACCTTGATTGGAAAACAGAGGTCAGTGGAGGAATAATGGAAGTTAAAGTCAGCTAGCGTTAAAGTCTGGGGAGGCCTTGCAATCATGGCCAAGATGTTCAAAGTCTGTTCTGTCAAAAATATTTTCAACAGAAAAGTCCCTTGGATAAAGAGCAGTGTGTTAAGAAAATTAATTTGGCAGCAGTTTATAGGACACACTGTAGAAAAAAAACATCTATTATGAAACTAATTTAGTAGGCCAGGTATGATCAAAACCAGGAAGTTGCAAACAGCAACAAAAAGAAACCTGCGAAAAATTATAAAGGAAGAATCTCAGATCTCTTATAAAAGGAATTCAGTGATATTACAGTCATTCTCAGTCTAGTCCAACCCTGTTAAAAGTCTGACAATCAAACTGTAAAAATCTAATGATACTGGGCTCCCATTATAATATTTCGGTTCCATATTGCCCCACACATATAGCTCCATGCTGCGTTGTTAGGCAGAAAACCTGCCGATTTCACTTCTGTATTGCTCTTGACAGCTAGACAAAGCACTATAGGAACAAGAGGGTATATTTGTTGATTTAAAAAAATCAGTAAGTGAATTTGATGACTGCATCTTATCTTCCCAAGTGGATCTCTCATGGTTACCAGTTAGAAGGGCGCTTGGTCCTTTTATCATCCTGCTATAGGCCTCAACTCTCTGTCTCTTTGCTTTTGCTCAGACTGCTTCCCTCGTCTAGAGTGATACCTTTTTTTTGTAATCTACTGTAAGATCTTCAAGGAAAATACATCTGCGAGTACCTTTTCTGTTTGCCAAACCTGAGATGCTAAGTTCTAGGAGAATAAGGCTGTATAACCTGCTTTAAGGTGCTCCTAATTTCCATCAATGAGTAGGTGCGTAAAAAGCAGCAAGTGGTTTTGATCCATTGATTGATATCTCTCCACTTTTCTTCCTTAAAGACAGCATTGGGTGGTGAGGGTAAACAGTGCTAATATTAGGAAGAGGTTAATGATGATACACTCCCAAGGATGAGTATGAGGACCAATTGTCTGTGTAGTCATTAATGGTGTGAAATGAGATGACTTACAAATGGCAAAATAATTTGAGAAATTTTGTAAGTT